AATTTCGACTGAAGAAAGGGGACATTCGTGTTAGGGTGAGACAGAACTTGACAGCACTAGTTTGGAAGGACAAACGTGACGTTTACATGCTGACAAATATGCACTCTCCTCCAGCAGAAGGCAGTTTCTGTGATGAGCACGGAAATGCCATCAAGCCAGCAATTGTTGCTAACTACAACAAGCACATCGGTTATGTCGACAAAGCGGACAGAATGGCAAACAGTTATAGCATCTGTCGTTGAACCTGGAAATGGACAAATAAATTATTTTTCCATCTCCTGGATCTGACGATTCTGAACAGTTATATCCTGTTGTCATCCTGTGGCGCGAAATTGTCACACAGAGAATTTTGTCTCGCCCTTGTGCGGAACATATTGGAGTATGCTGGAAGGGGCCCCCTTCGCCCTCAACGGCCCAGGGGTCGAACCCCTGCCGTTTCATCGGGGTCATTTCGAATAGAGGAGGCCAAACAACAGCACTGGCCGACTTCCTCTACTTTGAAATTGAGGTGTTGAGTGTGCTCTTCGCGTGGGAAACGAAGAACCGTCCGGATAAAGTGCGTGAAGTGTGATGTGGGACTCTGCATTTCCGGATGTTTCCAAGATTTCCACACGAAGCCAACATTCCGTTAGACGACGCAGGTGGGAAGAGAGACAACTTATAAAGCTGGTGACCAAAAATCATGTAAGTAGAAAAAGAATTTATAACTTAAAATTAGATTTTAAAAAGTCGGCTGCATGTGTGGACTGCGCGATGACATATGGCATCATTCGTCCCCTTGACTTTATTTTAATGATGCCACATGGCGTCGCTCGGCTCTTAAAGGTTAAGATAATTTAAAAATGAAGTGTTGTTACATTGTTCTATAACCATTCTCCTTCTGCCCTGTTTCATTGTTGTGGTAGCAGTGTATATATTTTCTGGATGTTTTTGGTTTTGTATATTGTGGTGGCTGGTGTGTGTTTTGTGTACCATGAAATATTGATGTGGCTAAAATGTCAAATATATAAGAAAACATAGACTAGATGATGTTCTAACCAGCAGGCTATGAAATGTTGCATTAAAGGGACTGTATTACATGTATCAGGAACCAAACTAATGCAGCAGGATGCCAAAATATGTTGTATACAAATACAGTGAACCCTCACTAATCTGGTTACAGTTATTCTGGATGTCATATAATTATCACAATTATATCACAATTATAATTGTGATCAAAATATGAAGAATGAAAAATTCCATTCACAGTTGAGTACATACTTTAAAAGACACATGGCGTTTAGGAAGACAGATGAGTCACTTGTCTGTTCAGACAAAACTTGAGACAGTTTCTTCAGCCCTGAACTGTTATGTTCGAAAACAAGTACAACTTCTGTGTCTCCTGTCAATGAATAAATGTACTGTCTTTTATAGTTTTTAAATAAATGCTGTACAGTGACATTTTTTTTATTTTCATCAGAACTACTTATATTATTAAATCTTCTAAGTTTTTTTATCTTTTAGGTGTACCTTTTGCTTCACTAATCCAGATTATTGCTTAATCTGGATGACCTCTGCCAAATTACTTTGGATTAGCAAGGTTGTGCTGTATTTTAGTTGTCCTGTTATTCATAAAAATTAGCAAATTTCTCACCAGTGCATTTTTTTAATTACAGCTGGTGTTTTGAAGCGGCTCCTAATTTTCAGGAAATTTATGGAGGTCTCTGTGTACGTTCCAGGTATGTTGATCACTTGGCAGACAGACTGCAGCAGAAGCTGGATGTTGCAGACAAAATGGTGGCATCCCAGAAAGCAGTTAGGCAGCGAAGTATAGAAGCAGGAGAAGAGGCAAAGAGCTTGGAACCAAAACTGAAAATGATCATTGCAAAGACAAAGGAACTTCAAGGAGAGGTGAGTTGTGAACCATATGATATTATGCAAGATCTGAAGCTCTTTGCCAGTGACTGTGAAGATCATTGTCTTCTGAGATGTGATACCGTTTAGTGTGGCAGGTATTTACTATCCAGCATGGTTGGTTGAGGCACTGTGCTACAAGGCGGAAGGTCGCAGGTTTGAGGTGGATTTTTTTCAATTTACCTAGTCCTTCCAGCCATACTATGTCGCTGGGGTTGAGTGACCCTCTAACAGAAATAAGTACCAGGAATCTTCCTCTGGGGTAAAGGGCAGTTGGTGTGTAAGGGTTACAACCTTACCCCCATCTGTGAGCTGATTGTCTAGAGAAAATGTGGGAGCCTCAGCATCTCACAATGCTTTGTGCCTTTATGGCCTGTTACAGGGATGGCTTTACCTTTACCTTTGGAGGGAATGTGTTGTCACCATCTTAAGAAACTTCTCTTGAAATTTGAAACAGCAGGTTCCTCTGAAATGTTTAGTAATACCTGCTAGACACAGGGTGTGCCAAGTGAGTAATGTTGATTACATGTTAGATTTAGATTTTAGTCTTCTGGGTTGCGATGTCATACATATATAAAAGGTAGAGCTATCCTTGTAACAGGCTGTGGAGGCACGTAGGGTTGTGAGACATCAAGGCTCCCATATTTTCTAGACAATTGGCTCAGAGATGGCAGTGAGGTTGTCAGTCTTGCATGCTGGCCTCCCTTTACCCCCAGGAAGATTTCTGGTACTCATTTCTTTTAGAGGGTGAGTTGACCCCAGGGCCATAATGCAGTTGGAAGGATTAGGTCAACTGAAATTGCAATGACCTCATTGGTAATTGAACCTGCGACCTTCCAGCTTATAGCATAGTGTTTCCCAATGTTTCAGACTAATTTTCTTTCCACCCCTCGTAATTTAGCTGTCTGAATCCCGGCTTTACTCACTCCTGTCCTGAAGTTTGAGGGACAGATTCCTCTCAGATATTGGTAATGAGACGAAAAAGATTTTTAGTCACCATATGGCTAGAAGTGGAGGATCATAAAAGTTTTGGTGGACATATGGTTGGGGAAAAAGATTTGATGAAACAAGTTTGCGTAGGGGAGGGAAACGGGGTGAGGCCAAGATTCACTTAGTTTGTATCTCTTTTCATATTTGAAATTATCTGCTGTTATTTGCTTATTGGAGGGTTCAGTGTCTCACTCTTCTGTTTAGGTGGGTGCTCTTCATATAAATTAGAATAATGGCTTAAAAAGTAAAGTGGAACTATATAAATAAAAACCAGAGTTTATTAATTACATTAATATCTCTTACAGATTGAACGTGACATTTCAAGGCGCTACAGAAATCGTCCTGTGAATATAATGGGCGGTGTCAATGTATTATAACCTTCAAGGTATAAATTATATTTACTTCTTTAGGTTTGTAAACATTTTACGAGGGTGAGTCAAATGAAAACCTTGAATTTGTAATAAAAGATCAAACTTTCGTGCCATTTTCCTGTAAGTTGGTAAGCGTGCTACAAACAGCATGCGGAATGGCCTGTAGGTTGCAGCATAGTGCAGATGCACGAACACCATCACAGCACCAGTATAAGATGGCTGCCCCACTTGAGACTTGCACCAGGGAAGAACAGCGTTCTGTTATTTGGTTTTTGTGTAGTGAAGGTGTGAAACCTATTGAAATTTATTGAAGAATGTAGTTTCAGTATGGTGATGCATGTTTATCACAGCAGCAAGTGTATGAATGGAGTAGGAAGTTTGCAAATGGTGTGACTTCAGTGGAAGATGCTCCTCGTCTGGGTCAGGCACATCGAGTTGTGACTCCAGAGAACTGCAGCAATTGAAGCCATGGTGAAGGAAAACTGCCGAGTGACATTGAATGAAATTGCAGCAAGTTTAAACATTAGTCATGGTTCAGCACACCACATTGTGCACAATGTGCTCCAGTTTCACAAAGTGTCTGCAAGATGGGTGCCACGGCAGCTGACTCCTATATTGAAAGACCGATGTAATGATGCTTGTGAAGAACTTCTGCAGCACTTTGAACGAGAAGGTGATGACTTCCTTGCAAGAATCATTACTGGGGATGAAACCTGGGTTCACTTCCACCAACCGGAAATGAAGAGAGCGAGCAAGGAATGGAGCCATTCCTCATCTCCAAAACCCAAGAAGTTTCAAACAACCAACAGCAGGGAAGGTTATGCTGACTCTTTTGGGGCGAAAAAGGCATCATCTTGGAGCACTACACGCCTAGAGGGACCACTGTGACCAGTGCATCATACTCAGATCTCCTAAAAAATCATCTTCGGCCTGCAATCAAATCAAAGCAACGTGGATTGCTGTCCACAGGTATCCTTTTGCAACATGACAATGCAAGGCCCCATACTGCCCGTACAACAGTTGCGACAATCAGTGACCTGCATTTTGAGTGTCTTCCTCATCTGGCATACTCACCAGACCTTGCCCCAAGTGATTTACATATGTTTGGACCACTCAAAGAAGCAATGGGAGGAAAGACGTTCTGTTCTGATGAAGAGGTATGCCACGCGGTGCATGAGTGGTTGCGCGGACTACCAAATGAATTTTTTTTCTAAACGAATTCATGCACTTTGTAAGTGCTGGAGGACTTGCATTGAGCGTGGGGAGATTATGTTGAAAAGTGATACAGCTTTGTACCACTTGTGCACAATAAATAATACTCAAAAAAATATTTAAGGTTTTCATGTGACTCGCCTACGTAATTCAAGACATATCACTTAATCCTCTGTTATTTATTTGAAACTGATTTATTGATACTTGTGTTCTTTTTTTTTAACAAAATGTTAATTGGTTAAACTTAAAGGCTTTAAAAAGTGTTTTTCTTTTTAAGTGTTTCACAACATAATTTTGTAAACCAGGTTGCTTCATGCTGTTATGTAAGCATGATCAATATAATGCATTGCTACTGGCCAAAAATTCACATGTTTATGTACAGAGTTTGTTTAGAACAGTAAACTTAAAATTCAGTTCTTTCAGTCAGTATATTATTTTTCTAAGGGGGCACGTGGTAGTGTAGTTGGTTGAAGCACTATGCTACAAGCCGGAAGGTTGTGGGTTCCATTCCTGATGAGGTGGAATTTTTCAGTTTACCAAATCCTTCCAGCTGCACTGTGGTCATGGGGTCTACTCAGCCTCTGACAGAAATGAGTACCAGGAATCTTCCTGGTGGGGGTAAAGGGCAGCCAGTGCTTAAGGCTGACAACCTTATTGCCATCTGTGACCTGATTGTCTAGAGAAAATGTGGGAACAACATCTCACAACCCTGTGAGCCTTCACAGCCTGTTAAAGGGATGGCTTTACCTTTTTTTTTTAATTATATCTCTAAACAATATTAACTGATTGGTCTTTGTAATGGAGATGCATTGTGTTTTCTGTGATTTGGGAACTGAATATTTAAATGTTACTGCAGTCTGAAATGGGTGTTCAGCACATTGCAGTGAGCATGAGGGTTGTTCAGTAGAAACCTCTTTGCAGAGCTGTTATCGAAGGCCAGTTTTGGGTGATCACATGTCTGTATGAATGACACTAGTACTTGACCACAGGCTTTGCAACAGAAAGAGCACATTAGAACAAACACGAACAGTGTGGCACGGTTAACTCCTGGCATTTCAGGTGTAGAATCCATCCAGACAGGATCAGTTGCACCATGACATGACTGTGGAACCCTCTGAGACTTTCATACTGCCTTCATTAGGAAGTGTGGCAGAATACTCACAAAGAATGTTATCATTTTGCATTACAGTTCCCATTCCAATGAAATGTGCAGTATGCAGGACATACTGTGCTCCATCGCCTCGGACCTGTCACTGCCATAGTTTTAGGTTGGATGTAGACATCAAGGGTCTGGTGAAGCAGTGGTCCCAGTAGCAGCATGGGTAGTTCCCTTTGGAGAGGACCTATCAGCTGACTGCCTTGATGCCTATGGGGACCATATGTAACGGCCTCAGCTTCTTCACCCCAAAACATGCCTGAACAAGTTTCGTTAGAACAAACCTCATATTGTCATATTTTATTGACATCAGGGACCAATGAAGTCTTTTTCATAAATAAGTGTGAAAAGACCCAGCTCATAACTTGACTTTTAAAAGAGCATCTGCAGATCCACATGAAAGTAGAAATGTCAGAAGAAGAAGAAATAAGTATTTGGAGGAAATCATAATCGTATTTCCTATATTTGATGTTAGAGATAATCTGTGAAGATTCTTGAATGCATTCAGTTAAATGTCTAATTTATGAGTATAAACTGCACCGATGTTGAGTAGTGTCCAAGTGAAAAGATATTATTTTACATATTCTCTTTTGTCACGTATTTGTTTGCTTATGAACATTTAGCTGAAACATATGAGGCCAAATTTTTATCTGACTCAAAAAACGTACATGTGATCATTAGCCCTATAGTGAGATAAGTTTCTAATACAGGGGTGTCCTAGGAGGAAAGATCAGTATTCTTGGAGATCAACATATGGGTCATTCTAAGCAAAAAAGTGTGTGTGTATATTATATATATATATGTTTCTGAGACAGAGCTATTTGACTGTACAGTACTGTACTGTACACTGTACAGACGAGCAACATGCCATGTTCTCACATGATGTTGACACTGTAATTCTCAAAAATGTATTATGCTAGGTAAATTGTACCAACTTTGTCACTTGAACAATAAATACCGGTGTTAGAAACAGTACGTAATATCTCCTATGAACAATTTTGGAACTGTACAGTGAAATAGCTCTATCTCGGAAACTGTTCGGAATAGGACACGCGTACATACACATATTTTTTTGCTTAGAATTGCTGATACTATGACCTCCCAGAATATTGACCTTTCCTGCTGGAATATTCTGTATATATGTTGTACAGTCATGTTTGTATGATGGGTATGAGGTTGTCTTTATCTGGGGGTAAAGCAGCTGACCACTCATTCCCATCTGGTGCCAAGGTTAAGAATTGTGGAGCTATACTTCCACTTCCCCATACATAATGGTGTGGTGCTTAATTAAGTCAGGAATAACTTTATGTTTGCAGTAAAATAAATAGAACCAATTCTTAAAAAATACTTTTCTGTAATGCCTAACAGATTGGCAATGCTTGTGACTCATAGTCTGGAGATGTGCAGCTGGAATGTAAGCCAAGACAGATGTTTTTTGTGTTTCTCAGCCCCTTCAGGAAGGTGATGGGGTAGTACCTTGATTTAACCATGACTGCTTCCTTCCAAATTCTTTAAATTCATCCATCCTACCATTAATTGCTATATAATGTACCTACTGATTGTAAAATAATCCACAAACTGATAACTTATATAATGCTTCAGGGAATAGTTTTTCAGTCATGGAACTGAGCCCTTTTTGAGAAGCTGCCAATTTTGCAGTTACTCAAGAACTTCCCAACATTTTATAGAACCTGAAGGTTCATTACTGTACTCACAAGAGCCCTCCACTGGTCCCTATCCTGAACCAGATCAATCCAATCCATACCATCCCATCCCGTTTCTCTAAGAACCATTTTAATATTGTCCACCCACCTGTGTCTTGGTCTTCCCAGTGGTCTCCTTCCTTCCAGCTTTCCCACCAAGGAATAGTTTTTACCAAAAAAAAAAATGCTTATACCTTTCTTTCAATGGGTAGCAAAACATGTTCATTGTTACTTGTTTGAAATCCATTTTCTTAAGAACATTCTCTCTATTTTCACTGTTTTACTTGCTGTTAGCTTTTTTAATTCTTCAAAGTGCAGTGGTTACTGTGTGTACCTCCTGCTTTAGCATTAAGAAACTTTGCATTATATTTGTAATGTACATATCTGTGGGTTTAGTGTGATTCTTACAATAAACAGAGCTTATTTCTGCATACAGTTTTAATCAGTTGACCTTTGCAATCAGAGAACCACCATGTTTCATGTGAGGTAGGAACTGAATTTGTGAATATTATTTAGTTGAATTTCATGCTTTGTAGGATTAAAGATACCATAATTCTTAAGCAGGAACAAATATGAAAACATGGTATTCCTATTAAGTACTTAATGATGAAAATGTTATCACATATTTTCACCATGACTGTCACAGACAGCGACTTCACTGTTACAGCATGAACACATTCTGCAGCAATCTCCATGGTGAAGAGGTGCAGACAGCTTTGGTTCTGGGACATGGGTACCTACGCAGACACTCAGCCAGTTGACGATCACACTCGCACAGCCTCTGCGCACATATTCCCCAGTCACTCCATGTATCCTGCTCAAGTGCTGTCAACAAAGACAAATTTTTTATAACTGTTTTCCAGTAAAGAAAACTGTGGTTAGCAGTTGAATTTCAGGTTCTCCAATGACCATGAAAAGTATGGTCTTCTGTGTTGTGATGCTGTGTGGTTCGAATACAGCCCGACATTTCAGAGGAAGTTAAGCAAGGAACCAGCAGAAGCAGGTGCCAAGCCGAGCTGAGCCTGAAGATTGAGGCAGTATATTCCGTCCAAAATGTCTGGTTCTGCACAAACAACACGATGTCACAATCCAGAAAACTGTACTGCTAATAGTTATGAGTGATCTTACCAACGTTAAAATATGATAATTTATTAACCTTTTTAGCCAGTGCACAGAACTTGCAGGGATGAGTTGCATTTGACACTAACTGCAAAGAGTTAACAGTATGAAATTGATCTAAATTTTATGAATAATAAAATGTAAATGTGTATATAAGTACTTGGGATTATTGAGTTTCTGAACTTTGTCCATTGTCCGGTATTTTGAAAGGATGTGACGTTTCGGAAACTGGATCTGTTGCCATCTTTGGATGAAAGGGCGGAGAATCTCGTAAATTTCTAATGGCCCAAAATGAATCAGTGTCACTGCACCTTGTCACATGAGGATGGAAGGAGATGCACTTTCTGAAATGATAGGTTCCTTCAGACTACCGGACGATGGACAAAGTCCAGAAACTTGGTAATCCCAACTAATACACAATTGTCAGAACCCTTTATCAATAATTCATTATTGCATTTGAGATTCTCAGTACAATTTTCTGGGTTGTAATGCCATGTAAGTCGATATAAGTTCACAGACATTTTGGAGGAACATGTTGCCTCCATCTTCAGCATTGAAGGGCATGCTGAACAAGAAAAGAGCAAGAAGAGTGAAGGGCACATAGAAATCCAGGCTTTGTATAGGTCAGGAGTTATGATAGTGGCAAAGTGAGGATGTCCACGTTTTGGGGGTTAAGAGAGAACCAGTAGAAGGAGCAACTAACAGTATTTTGGCTGTGGAATGTTTTGCAGTTACAGCTTCAGTTGCCCGTGCCATAGCTCAGGTGGTTAGTTGCTGGCTTTCCACCTTGGTGGCCTAGGTTAGAGCCCAGGTCAGGTCATGTGAGATTTGTGGTGGACAAAGTGGCACTGGGGCAGGTTTCCTTCAAGTACTTTGGTTTCCCTTGCCAATTCTTATTCCACTTATTGCTCCACTTTCATCATCATCTATCATCCAGGGCTGGTACAATAGGCCAGTTAGTGGCTGATGTACCAAGTGGACTCGGTCTCACCTCACCACAGGAAACTAAAATACTAACTACAACTTCAGTTCTGTTAATCAACTGTTTAAGACAGTGGTTTTCAACCTCTGTCAGACTGCAGCCTGGTAAATGCCTTTTTCTATAAGACGAGGGCCTGGTATAATTGATGCCAGGGCCAGGTGGTTGAAAAACACTGGTCTAAGATGTTACTGAAAACTAACAGGATTTTGAAAAAGATTTGTGTTGCTAAAATCGGTTTGCTGTCTTTCAGGATTCAATCATCAAATTCAAAGTGAAAACCTGAATATTCTAACTCTTGGAATGGTGAAAATCTCAGTAGTTGAATCTGATGAATTATGTAGATGATCAATGAGCTCAGTCCTCGTTTATCTGTCTGCTGGCAAATCCGAGAGTAAGGTGTAGGTATGCTAATGTGGTATGGTCAGTGAAATGAACCAATGCCGGTTCTAGCCAACTGTTATGATGATGTTTCTGTTGCTGACATTCCTTATTAAGGAAAGATGGGCTTTTAATGTCATTTGCATGCATGTGCCTGCCTACTCTTGTAGTTGTGTGTCTGGACGTCTGTAATAATTTGTAAACTAAATGACAACAGTTCATTAAACTTTGTTTGAAAATAATGTCTTTGGAATTCATTGACATTTACACTTCATAGCTATCAACACAATCATTGTGCTATGTCTTTGAATGTTGTTAGTGTTATTTAATGTGTAACCTTATATTTTGTCTGGTTATATATGTTTTAAGAGTATGCAACATTTGATAAATTCTCCATTTTTTGAACACTGAAGTAACAACATAGGGGCGCAAGAAATTTGTATAGACTTTGCCATAATCAGGCCTGTAGATCAGTTATGAATGTGAAATGTGATATTGATAGAGATGATGTACATACATACAAATTATACATGAAGATGCGAGAGCTGGTGTTCTTGCAGCAGTGAATGTTAATATGGCCTTCTGAGCTGTGACACAGTGTAGTTTGGTAAATACAGAACGACAAGAAATCATATCTGAAAGACCGGAAGCTTGGTTTGGATATTTTTTTAACACGTTTGCAGTGCAAATCTGTAGGGTTATGTCTGACAATTCATGAAATGAAAATTTGTAGTTGAGAATTAAGTACAAAATATATAATTTATTTGTAATTTATATTTATATTTGTATGAACGTGACTGAATTGAAAGGTCATTTAGACCTAAAAGTTATTCAAGGACTGAATTTGAAGTTCATTTGGGCCTACAAGTTCAAGGTCATTCGTTCCTAACCCATTCAAGTACCAGTTCGCTTCTGCAGCATTAATTCGCCAGTCACCAGCATTAGTGGCGCTAATTTGCCAGTACATCAGTGAAAAGAAACAGTTGCCACTCGTAGTCGAAAGCGTGTGTTTTATTGCGTTTATAGGTCCTAGTGTAACACTTTTATTTCGGTAAGGTTAGGTCATCTTCGTTATTCTTGTAGCATTACCTGTATTTTTTCCATGACTGAAGTAGAGCGAAATTTTAAGCTGCTCTTATGTGGAAGTGTCGTATTATGAACACGTGCACCAATGCAAGTTCCTTTCGGGCGAGTGCCGGGAGAAATGCACAATGCAGTGTCTGCAATTACACGTGGTTGTGAACAATTGGGAAGGAGTCGCTTGACGTAGAACCGGTCAGGAGCACAATACACAACCTGTTCAACCAACAAGGATGGAAATTTTGCCATTTCAGGCAATGAATAAGGTCAGTTGCATTAATTATTTTAGCATAATCATGGAATAAGCAGTTTGTCCAATTTCAAATGCTGTGCTTACGCTAAAGATTTTTTTTTGAACGTAGCAGTCGTCACGTTTTATAGTTTGTAGACTCGATGTACCGACATCAACATTTTAAAACTGGCCCTTCATAGCACCCTTGGATGCCCGAGACTTCTTTACATTTATATTCTTAAAGTACTTCTACTTTGGTGACACGAGAATTTCCCATCGTTACGAAAGATTTTATATGATAAAATACATGGTGTAACAAGCTGTGGATAGCGACCCTCTCCTTTCCAGCGTTCACGAACCTGCTCTACGGAGAGTCTTTGGGTTTAAAGAATTAAGATATATTGGTATAAGTTCAGCGTTTTGGAAAATTGCCAAGTCAGTAAGATTTAACGAAGACGCAAGAGTGTAGCAAACAGCAAACCAAGCATGGAAAACAGTGGCACGTCCATTTGAAACGCCGATAAAGTTATGCCAGACTACACGGCGAAACATTTCGGAAAAGACTACTACTTGTCTGAAATCTTACCCGTACACTCAGCCCACACAGTGTATTTGCGTGTTCCATATGGTTCTCACAATAAACAGCGATGTTTCCCGAAATTAACGGCCGTGAGGATTTTTTATTGTAGAAAAAATATTGTAAATACAAAAAAGGCCTAGGCAATGCCCATCCGGCCTTCTGTAGCACATTCTTATAAATATCTAATTCTGTAATAGCGGTAACCCCGCGATTCTTAATATAGATCTGAACTTAAATCTGCACTAACATAGAACCACAAACCCCATAACACACACACTATTGTCTGACAAAGTTAAAAAAGGTAAAGCTATTCCTCTAACAGAGCCGTGGAAGCCCATAAATTTATGAGAACTCGAGGCTCCCACATCTTCTAGACAATCCGCTCACAGATAGATACACCGTCCCAACTCTACCAGCCAGATCTGAGTAAAACCCTAATACAAGAATAAAATGATACCTAAGTGAACAAAAAGAAACGAGTATGAGTTGAGACAGGCATAAACGAAGCTGTTAACAGAAGAAGACATCTTCACAGCACGAATTATGTTATTCTCACGAATTCATAAGCAAAATGCATTCTTTAGTTTTAAGCACAAAATTTAGTGTGCATTTAATTCAGATCACAAGGATGAAATATAATGCCCTACATTTTAGAATAAGATTACCAGAGAAACTTTGCAAGTTGTTGTTTCTGTAGCTAGCATTAAAGATTTCCCGATTCAACTAATCAGGCTTATGTATCCATTGTAATTTTTTTGCTCCCTTTGTACACTCTTTGTCAAACAGTGGGGACACGTGGTAGCGTAGCTGGCTGAGGCAGTATGCTACAAGCCGGAAGGTCGCGGATTCGATTCCCGATGAGGTCATTCGATTTTTCAATTGACTTGACCCTTTCCAACTGCACTATGGCCCTGGGGTCGACTCAGCCTCTAACAGATTTTTTTTTCATAAAATAAGAAAACGGAAGGCTAATTGGATTGGTCATATCTTACGCGGTAACTGCCTTCTAAAAGAAGTTATTGAAGGAAAGATAAAGGGGCGGATAGAAGTGACCAGAAGACGAGGAAGAAGACGTAAGAAGATGGTAGATGACCTTGGGGACAGTAGAGGATATTTTCATTTGAAGGAGAAAGCTCTAGATCGCATGAAGTGGAGGTACTGTTTTGGAGGAGACTGTGGACCTGTCGTCTTGACAGATTACAGATGATGATGATGATGATGATGATATTTATTACACATAATCTGTAGAATCTGCAATAAATGTATATGTTCAATCCCTCTGTCCGCTAAAATTGGCACTAACTTCGCCGACAAGCGGCAGTCGCTCGATCGATATAGTTGGTTTGCGAACTGAAACCACGGAGTTTGTTTTGTTTGTTTTTGTTTCCCGAAACAGCATTCACCACTTGGGCTTTGTAGTGGAGACATATTGTGTTTCCTATGAGGCACGGACTGAACTCTGCATTCTGCCCACACAGTGTATTTGTGTGTTCCGTATGGTTAACAGGAGGTTTCCTTAAAGAGCATTAAACGGTTGGGCTTTGTAGCGGTGACGTAATGTGTTTCCTGTGAGGTACGGACGAATTTGTATATATTACACAACTGTGTATTCTGCCCACACAGAGTATTTGTGTGTTCCGTTTGATTCTCACAATAAACAACGACTGTTTCCCTAAACAGAATTAACCGGTTGAGTTTTGTAACGGCGACGTAAAGTGTTTTCTGTGAGGCACGAACAAATTAAGTCTCTAAAGTGTTAAATATACTTTTTCTCCTACTTTCCCCGGTAATGTTGCATTTCGTATTCCAAGGTTACCAGTCCGCGTTCTGAGTCGATGCCAATTCCCATGCACACGACTGGGTTATCGGGCGAGAGGGCTGTCATTTGCGAATATACCCCCATCCCACTTTTATAATCTCAAGATGGTTACCAGTATTTCGGATTAACATATTGTTTCCATCTTCTACACTGAAGTTGGAGACAAAATGTTCCGCCGAATCGCGGGTAAACCTTAGTCGTGTCACTTTGCAGTTGCGGAACTCACCACAGAGCGGACGACGTCGGTAGCACTTCCAGAGGTAAGGTACGAAGTATTCCAGGTACATGGGACAGCTGGCCGTGTGGTAGCACCAGTCGTGCATCTTGCAGCATCTGGCGGAACAGACAGAAACAGAATACGAGAAACAGACCTTCCCTAGGCATAGTGTTCACATTTCAAAGCCAAGTTGTTTGATACCAATAGTCAATGAGCTGCTGTTTGAAAAAGTTTTCCTATATTTCTAGAAACAATAACAAAATGGGACAGGCGAAGGAAAAGTTACCTCCGTGCTTAATTAAGTACCACACAATGAAGATATATGGGGTGTAATATGCATTCGTAATGACTCCTTGAGTACGTTGTTAGAAAAGATATGAATTAGTCAGTTATACAGTTTCATATTGTTTCGTGATAGACACAGGCAGTGGATTACGCGCTTAGCATAGTAGCCTGAGACACTGCGCTATAAGCCGGAAGGTCGCGGGTTCGATTCCAGAGGAGGACATAAACATTTTTTTTCAACTGACCTGATACTTCCAGCCGCACTATGACCCTGGGGTCGATTCAGCTCCTAACAGAAATGAGTACCGCGAATCTTCCTGGAGGGGGGGGGGTAAAGGGCGGCTGACAAATTCACCGCCATCTATGAGCCGACTGTCTGGGAAATGGAGAAGCCTCGACGTCTCACAACCATATGGGCCTCCACTTCCTCTTACAGGGATAGCTTTACGTAACCTCACCTCCATCTGTGAGCCGGTTGCCTAGAAAATGTGGGAGCCTCGACGTCTCACAACCCTATGGGCCTCCACGGCCTGTTACAGGGATAGCTTTACGTAACCTCACCTCCATCTGTGAGCCGATTGCGTAGAAAATGTGGGAGCCTCGACGTCTCACAACCCTGTGGGCCTCCACGGCCTCTTACTGGGATAGCTTTACGTAACCTCACCTCCATCTGTGAGCCGGTTGCCTAGAAAATGTGGGAGCCTCTACGTCTCACAACCCTATGGGCCTCCACGGCCTGTTACAGGGATAGCTTTACGTAACCTCACCTCCATCTGTGAGCCGAATGCCTAGAAAATGTGGGAGCCTCTACGTCTCACAAGCATATGTGCATCCATGGCTACCTACATGGATAGCTTTACCTTTTACAGCGAACGAACCGAACCAAGTTTGTCTGCTTACCTGTCAATACCGTCGACTGTGTAGCCGGAACCCAGGAACCCACAGTAGCATCCGTAGCCCTTGAAGGCCAGTGGATCGCAGCCCGTAGCACACAGCACCATGTTGTACAAGTGAAGCACACCTCTCTTGCTGCGCTTCGCAGTGTGACTGGCATCCAACTCTTGCAAGAACTGGGTCTCTGCCTCCAGCAACATGGAGGATGTGCCCCAAGGGTCGTTACTGTAGCCCAAGAAGAAGGTAGACGGGTCATCAAGTGACCCTCCTGCTGTCACCACAAGGTTGCTGCTTGGACCAGTGTCATTAAAACTTGCGAGAACTGGAAAACCAGAGATCGCGTAAACAAATCTCTAGGATTTAGAGTGTTATACACATATTGACCAGGATTTTCAGTGAACTTCACACATCGCTAGACAAATGAGTAGCTTCTTATCTGTTCCATTGATTTCCTCAATTCTTCCAGACAGATTTTGCCTGTGGATCTGTATGGGTGTGAAACTTGGTCTCTAACATTAAGAGAGGCACATAGACTGAAGGTGTTTGAGAACAGGGTGCTGAGGAGAATATTTGGACCGAAGAGAGATGAAGTGACAGGAGGTTGGAGAAAACTGCACAAAGAGAAGATTCATAACTTGTACTCTTCTCCAAATGTAATTAGAATGATAATGTCAAGGAGGATGTGATGGGCAGGGCATGTAGCACGCATGTGGGAGAAGAGGGATGCATATAGTATTTTGACGGCAAATCCAGAACGAAGAGGCTACTAGAAAAACATATACACGTATATATAAGTTTAGGATAATATTAAAATGGACTCTAGAGAGATAGAATTGGTGATATGGACTGGATTCAACTGGCTCAGGATAGGGATCAGTGGCAGGTTCGTAAAAGTCAAAGTTACGTTACGACCGACAGTCAGTCGCCCAGTCTGTCTTGGTGTCAACCACCCATCTAGGGCCAAAGACCAGATTTTTGTTACTGTGAGACATTTGCGACTTTGTTGATGTGGGGCGCCCTCTTTGACTAGAGGACGGGTCTGTCTTTTACAATTGATGCTGGTCCTCGAAGCGCCGTCATTCTCGGGTCCGAGTCCCGCGGGACTCATGACCATATTTTACTGTCTCAAATTCGAGATCCCCAACCTGGAGGCCCAGGTACCCGTATTTATATCCCCCAGGAAAAGGGTGGCCCAGTTATACCCCCAGGCACTGGGTTCCATTTTCGTCGCCACACCTCGCAGGCCTTCGGTGGAGGCATTCGAACCCGCCTCCACACGGCGAACTCTCAGGCTCTTATGAACACGGTAATTAACTTTAGGGTTCCGTAAAAGGTTAGGAAATTCTTTTGTAGCTGGACAACTGGCGGCCTCTCAAGAAGGGCCGAGTTCAATGAAGTTAGTTCATCAAAAGTTATGGGGTGTTTGAATTTTTTTTTCGAACCAATGAACCGCTGTGTTTCATATTGTTGGTTAAGGTTGGATGGGCCTGACAGTCTTGCAATCAGTAACGCAGTAATATTTTCAGTTGTCAGTAATTTGCTTGAAGGTTATTAATTATAAACCGAGTTATATATTTCTACGCCAGACGTTTCTATACAGGATCTACTTCCGGTTTTAACGAATGACACACAGAGGAGATAACCCGGCTTTATTACGACCAGAAATGTTGACGAGGGGCACTTCTGCAGGATGCTGACTGCCACGGCTTAACATTCTTTCATTGACAAACTCTGGTCGGCAGGTGATCTGTTTGAATCTCGCCCGGGTAACCGGCTATCCTACTAGGTTTCTCGCGGTCTTTCTGTGTCACTCCAGCCAGATTCCGGGATAGTAACTCAATTAGGCTACTTCCTTCCAAATCCTTTCCATTTACCATCGGTATTCATTCAACTAACGTGTCGTAGTGGTGGGGCTTGCGTGACTCTGTGATCTGGAGAGCTATGCCGGCGATAGTGTAACTACCGGTAGAGTCACCCATGCCGGAAAGTCAAAGGGTAGAGTCCAGACTAAAGGGGCTCATACACGTACNAACAAAACATTCGTGAGCCCGCAGCTTTTGACACGGTTTCTAGAAGAGCACCGTGAATTGCCCGTTCTGTGGCAGGGGCGCAGCACAGAGTATTCGAACATTACCTGAAAGTTTTCATCTGACATTCTGAAGTAGTTTTTGTAGTCTTCAGGTCTATCATTTCTAATAAAGTTCAATAAATCTAAATGCGTAAATCTGTCTCTACTTAACAACCAGTTCTTAGCCCACATTTCCTTCCTTTTCCTCCCGAACACACCGCATTCGTCTCTGCTGCAACCTGCTTCGATGAACTCATTCTGGATACTGAAATGTACGAGCAAAGTTGGGAGTCAGCATGTGTGGTGAAATTAATCCGAGCCCGGCTCCCGATTCAAGCTCGCCGAGCCGGACTCGCGAGCCAGACTGGTACGTGTATGGGCCCCTTAAGAGAGATACCCTGGCCCTCCAGGTTGGGGGTTGGGCATGGGGCTAACAACTTAATCCTGTAAAAAGAATTTTGTTCAGAAACCTAACAACCAGCCTCGGCTCATCATGCGTGGGTCCAATTCTATGGCAGCACGCACTGCTTGTGGAGACTGGTTGTAGAGGAGGCCAAGGCCTACCCAGGGCTGTAGCGCCGAGCGGTAGGTAGGTTGGTAGGTTGGTATTCATATCTCAACGGACACTCCATGGTGCCAGGACTGAAAGCGTGGCTGAGACGGCAACACTCTCAGCACTGTATTCCAGAGGTGTCCGCTTCGAATCCCGGTCAGGATAGGCGTTTTCATTTGGGATTAGGGAAGTCACTGATATTCTCGGACATTATATCAGGTCTCCGAACGGCTGGTTGAACCCGAACCCTCCCGAAGATGAAACACAAGTGTTACCCGCTTGACCGTGACGTTTCGTCGGGAGAAAGTTGTGATTCTGAAATGACTGTCCGCTCGGAAAATTGTAAATATACAGTTAAGTATATATAGTACACTTCGATAGAAGTCACTGCGAAACGTTCGTCACACTCGCCTGACCGTGACCTTGGTGTTTGAGGTTCAGTGATGGACAGCTGTTGCTTCGTCGTCATGGTAACTGGGTCATCCATCTGAAGCCAGTTCTGCCTGCTTGCTTGTATATACTTGTATACTGTATATTTCTTTTCGTAGCTTATTTAACTTTGCTTTTAGTCCCGAGACCGTAGCTTACGAAGCTGTGGAAGGAAGATCCCGGAATTTGCCTGAAGGGACTTGGGAAATCAACCAGGACAAATGCTCTATCGATTGGGCCAAACTGAATAGGTTTTACCTGAAGACGGAGGCAGAATCCAGTCTCCGAAACGTTGTGTTTTGAAAAATAAACAGGACGGTTTTTAGATAAAGACAAGACGACGGATAATGTCCGAAAACATAATATTTATGCAAGTTTTGAAGCTCCTCATTTTACAGTTTTGTCCAGCCTCCTGTCACTTCGTCCCTCTTCGGTCCAAATATTCTCCTCAACACCCTGCTCTCAAACACCCTCAGCCTGTGTTCGTCCCTTAAAATCAAGAGATCAGGTTTGACACCCATACAGAACCACAGGCAAAATTATAGTTTTGTATATTCTAATTTTTACAATTCTAGACAGCAGACGAGAAGACAGAAGGTTTTGAACGGAATGGTAGCAAGCATTACCAGAGTTAAATCTCCTCTTAATTTCCTCGTGAATCAGGTTTTGATTTCTTATAGTCGTTCCCAAATATCTGAACTGTGCCACATTTTCAAAATATCTGTTACCTGTCTTTATGTCATGATTTTGCCTTGCATTTTGTTGACAAGATAGCAACATATACTTAAGGCCGCGCCACAGTTCAAGTGGTTAGTCGCTGGCTTCCCATCGCGGTGGCCCGGGTTCGAGCCCGTGTCTGGTCAAGTGGTATTTGTGGTGGACAAAGTGGCGCTGGGGCATGTTTTCTCCGCGTACTTCGGTTTCCCCTGCCAATCTTCATTCCACCAAATTCTCCATCATAATAATCACCCGGGGCAGGCTGCAGTAGGCCAATTAGTGGCCGCCGTGCCGAGTGGACCCAGTTGGATTCCACCCCCCACTAAGCGAATAAAAAAAAACACTTGAGCTATGGCACGGCCTATTTTTATATTTAACTTTCTTGAAGAGAGCCAAAACATAGGCGAGACGAGTTCGATTCTCAGTTTAGATTTTTTTTTTAATTTTTCTAATTATTGCTCTGGCACACGTTTTGAAAAATAATTATTTTTTTTACTTTTATTAAAATTCATTTCTGAGTAAGGCTATCTCCTAGGCGAGGCGTGTTCGAGAGAAAATTTCCACTAAACGTAAAGTTGTTACTGTGCTCAACTAATTAAGCACTACACCATGAAGGCGTATTGGGGAGTGGATGTATAGATCCACATTTTCTTGACCTGGGCACTAGCTGGAGGCGAGTGGTTAGCTTCACGCCCCTGCCGCTTTACTCCCGGGGAAAGAGCCTATTGTACCAGTTGGATAGGAGGTTGGGTGAGTCCCAGAGTCGGCCTGGACAACGCGGAAAAGTAAAAATTATAGCTCCTAAATTATCCTCACGAGGCTGAGTGGACACAGTTCCAGACCCACGACTTCTCAGAAAACCTGGTAGCACCGGAAATCGAACCCGCGACCTCTGGATCCGTAACCAAGAACTCTGACCGCTAGACCACAGAGGTGGTCGAGATCTAGACTCAGTTTTGAAAAAAAAATATTTTATTAGTTTTATCTTTAATTTTATCTGGGTTCGGATCTCACACAGGATAGGCGATTTGGAGACAGATCCGTAAATAATATGTTTTTTATTTTTTTATGATTTACGACGACGGCTGTAATACAGTCGAGAAGAAATCACGACTCAGTTCAGATAAAGTTTTCTGTATTCTTATTTTTTTGTGAAGGGAGCTACAGCATAGGCGAGCCGAGTTCTAGTTTTTTTTATTGCTAGTGGGGTGGGACTAAGCCCCTTGTACTGCGGCCACTTCTGGCCTATTGTACCAGCCCCAGATGATAGGTGAGGGTGATTGTGGAGCAATTGGTGGAATGAAGATTGGCAGGGGAAACCGAAGTACTCGGAGAAAACCTGCCCCAGCGCCACTTTGTCCACTACAAATCCAACTTGACTAGACCCGGGATCGAACCCGGGTCGTCGCGGTGGGAAGCCAGCGACTAACAGCTTGAGCGATGGCGCGGCCCCCGAGTTCTAATCTTAGTTTGGATAATTAGACAGGCGATTTCGGGACTCAGTTTCCATAAAAATAGACATTTAATTTTTTTTTTATATTTTTGACGGGGGGGT